TCCTAAAGCAGGCCCTGTGATTGCCAGAGCCCTACAGGAAAGGAATGGGATGGTGCTCATGTACAAAGCCTCCATTGAACTAAGGGGCCTGAAGTAAGTGTGTACCATATTGTTATGTGTTCGCCTTTTAATCTACTTTTATCATTGTATTGCCAACAGGCTTAAGGTCTTGCCCTTTCAACACAGGTCAGAGCAGGTTTGGAGTAGCTTGGGGACATGGTGCATGATAAGTTCCCTGAATTGTGCCATTTCCTTTTCTCTAAATCTTCCTGTGCTTCTCACATTCTTTTCTAACTTCTCCACATGGGTCCCTCTGCAATTGCACCCATATGCCTTCCCATCTTTTCTGAGGACTTCAACATCACGTCCTGGTCTTCTCTGGAGTACCCTGAGCGTCTCTCTGCAGTCAAACTCTCCACACTCCACACTCACATTTCTCCAGTGGTGCTCAGCCTGTTCCACTCCTCCTCCTGTCCGTTGATCTCCCTGCGGTGCATCAGGTTTCTGACGGTTCTCTGTGACCCCTGAATGCTGGCTCCATATGATCTTTTATGAAGTCTGGAAAGTGCAGGAAATGCAAGTTGACAAAATGCCATAATATTTGTACACTCTCAAAAGAAAAAAAAAACAAAACTGTCATTTAAAATAATGTATTGAATAGAAATTCAAAGAACGTACACACAGCTAACCATTTTAAAGTCATGTTAAGACTCCCCGGAGACACAGAAGGAACAGAAAATATGTAATTTTAGGAAGAAATTTATTAGGTTGTCTTATAAGATCAGAGGCTGAAAGGTTCTATACTGGCTGGTGCCTGGAGGGCTAGGAATACCAGTAGCTTCTCAGTCCAGGAAGTTGGTAGCCTCAGAACAAGAGGGGGGCCTATGTGGAGCCCCAGTTAGAGGCTGAAGCCTCCACAGTCCCCTGAAGGTCCATGGGTGCAAGCCACCACATTCAAAGCTGACCAACCTGCAGTCTGATATGCACATGGGACAAGAGCAGGAAAGTCACCTGCCCGGGAAGGGTTGAGTGTGTGCCAGCAAGAATGCCCCACCACCTCGTTCTATCCAGGCCCTCAGCCGATTAGACGGTGCCACTTGCATTCAAGAAGGCTTCCCCATTCCATTGCTGACCCTCACACAAGTCTTCTCTGGAGTCACCCTGTTTCTACCAACCTACAAATTCGGCAGGAATCCCTCAATCCATTATGGTTGCTGACCAAATTAACCACCAAGAGAGTGAACTACACAGTGGCCGCTACTGTAACCATGTGTTGAGAGCCCACCACTCTGCCTGGTGTAAAGTGCTTTCACATTCCAAAGTAAACACTTTACCCATAGAGCAGTTTCTCCTTAGTTCCTTCACCTTCCAATCCCTGGCACACCCCAGTCTGCAGTCTGTGTCTGTGTATCTGTCCATCTGGACATTTCACACAAACAGAACTGGACATTATGTTCTCTTTAGTTTCTGGCTTGCACTCAGCATAGGGCTCTTAAGATTCACCCATGTTGCTGTGTATATATCAAGCCTTCCCACATTTCAAGGCTGAATAAGAGTCCATTGTGTCAATATAACTAAATGTGACACATACAGCATGTTACTTACATATATTCGAAAGTCTCAACTTATAAACCACAGCTCCTGTCATCCTGGGTTCACTCTTCCCCATTAATAAACCTCTGTACATCTCCAGATCTGCTTTGTACGTTTTGATAGTAAAATGCATGGGGGTGCACATCTGTAATCCCAGCAGCTCAGGAGGCTGAGACAGGAGGATCGTGAATTCAAAGCTAGCCTCAGAAATGGCAGGTGCTAAGCAACTCAGTGAGTCCCTGTCTCTAAATAAAATCCCAAATAGGGATGGGGATGTGGCTCAGTGGTTGAGTTCCCCTGAGTTCAATCCCTAGAACTTAAAAAATAAAAAAAAGTATGAATCATGGCCAATGTCAGTAAAAAGACCTAGCGGGATGAATCTGGAAATACAGCATGATTGTTCTTCCTAGTGTAACCCATAGTCGTGATCAAGAACAGGTCCCCAGATCTAGGAAATCACAGAACCTCAGCCCTCACCAGTCGTAGTCTTGAAGAAAATCTTCCTTCCTCCTCCCAAGTCAAGGCTGACCTAGGTGACAAAGGGACATTGTGAAAGCAGTGCACATCTCCATCCACCACACATTTGAGCCAAGAGCACAGGGCCCTGGTCTGAAAACCAGCAAAAAGAGTGCTGAGGGCTCAGTCTCCAACACTGCGCTCCTGTCCCAAGATGGCCTGCTGCCCATTGGGCTGCGTCAGCTCCACTGCCCTCATGGCCCCCAGGTTTAGACTCACCTGCCAGACACCTACATTAGCACCGGTCACAGTAACCCAGCACATGGGCAGATGTCTACATCACTCCGGTGGATCTCATCTGTTACTAAGCATCATATACCTGTGAGCACCCTGATAAGGCAGCCCAATGTCTCTAAGCATGATGACCACTCTTCAAAATAAATGAAATGCTGTCAGAGCATCTTCAAGTTTAAGCATTGAGCTGGGTAATGGGGAGCTGTGGAAAGACCCACTGCTGAGTTTGGCATTGCTTTCATGTTCTGAGAAAGGATATCATTTCTGAGGTCTAAGCATTAATTGAGGAGAATGTCCAATATTTCCAATCATGAAAGTATTATAAAAGTTCAGTGTTATTGGATCCAGTGGCCCATGAAAGCATTTTCTGCCCACTTCCCTGTGTCTCTCAATTACTAAATAGCAGTGTGCCCGCTAACAGAACCCCAGCAGTCAGCCTTCTGGGAGTTAAAGAGGAATATTGACTTTGCTGTCAAATGAGTCCCAAAGAAAGCAATTTTACATTCTCTGAGGCTTAAATAAATGCTTTCCTTTGAGCTAATAAGAAGGCCAAGTACTTTTAAGATATCCGTACATGCCTTTAAGGAAGTTCAGTCCCCAGAATGAAATTTACGTGTAACCTACCTCTGAGCTGAGAAACATTCAGAAGGCCACTACCCCCCACCACCACCACTGGCAAATGACTGGGCCCTTCACTAGACTAAAGGACTGAAAGTCAAGACAGCCCATTTATCCCAAAGTCGTAATCAGAAATTTAATATTTTAAAATACATCACCAGTTTCTGCTTTACCTACGTGGATGTAGAATATAAATTTATGGTTTTAATCAAGATATTATTATTTTATGGCATACACCACCAACAATTACAAAATTCAAACAGAAATCTTATGTCCCTGTTTTCAAGTTAAGCAATAAGAGTTCTTGAAGCTTTCTGTTACTCTAATTTGCAATTCACTTATTTTACTTCCCTTGGACTTTCCCACTATTGAGTCATTCATTAAAACTGTCTGTAGCAATGTGCTGGCCCTGGTTTACTATTCCCGATATCTGTAATTAGAGGGAATTAAACACTTTTTTTGCACTCAAACAAAACTTGTCTTTTGACACAATCAAATATCTGTCCCATTTTAAACCAGGATTAGTTGTGGGTTATGAATCATTTACAAGAATACAACACAAAAATAAGCTACTGGGACTCTTTCCAAAGTTGGGGTGAATTTATGACACGTTTGATATTGACCAATTATTTATAAAGTCTATTAAATTCATCACTACTGCCGGTAGGAAAAGATTTACTAGAACGACTAATGTAAAATGTAATGAAATAGATTAAGTCTCCTTATGAAATATTAATATCCACTAAATCTGGTAATTGAAAGTCTGTATTTGCAGTCTCTCAGTTGTGGCTATTTCCAATTCAGGTTGCAGATGGTGGTTTCAGCTTGCATGCCTAGGAACACCAACAATGAAAATGAAGAGTTTCTGAGAAACATGGCCATTGCCCCATAGCAGGAGACCACACTGGGAATGACCATGGGCTTGAGCTGTGTGTGCGCACATGCATGTGCGTGTTTGATGAAGTCAATGTTGGGTGCCCAGGATTTCTCTTCAATTCTTATCCCCCAAACGAGGCTGGATAAGGGGATTGGTTTCAGCTTCAGTGAACAGCAGGTAAGAAGGACATCCATTTTCCAAAGCGAGGTCATAGGAAACCACGTTTAAAGACTGTTAATGGTACACAAAGTTCACAAGGCGGCAAGTCCAAGTGTTTGGGTGGGTGTTAAGGGGAGCACATCTTTAGAAAGTTACTTGTGCACTTTAGTTCCAGTGTCCTCCTACTCTGGGGGAGTATTGGTGCTCTTTTCTCAAAATTATCCAAGTGTAGGATGAGCTCTTCTCTGGTCACTGTCTGCTAGAAGCAGACAGAGGTAAAGACTCCATTCCTTTCTTTGGTGGTTGTCATTAGAAAGCAGAGGTTGGGGTGGGGGAGGGAGCAGGGAGGGAGCAGCATATAAAAGGAGCACTGCCAACCTGGTCTCCACAGGGCAACCAGCTGAGACGGGCAAGTCTTAGAAAAGTCAGGACCTGGAGCTCAGGGCCCTAGAGGATAGTAAGTGGGACTTAGGACCTTACCCACCAGTTCCTACCAGTGCTCTCCAAGGACAGCTCTCGGGAGAGCGAAGGTGTTCATTTTCTGGCAAAGGCAGAATGGGTCCTTGTGTCCAGAAAGGGCCCTCAATAAAATGTCACAATTTGAATGTTTCTCTGGCAAACCCAGCAGGGGGGAATGTCCAAGGGAATGTGGATGAAGAGGGAGGGCAGCTGCTCCAGAGTTCAGGGAAACCCCGGTGCAGCGACTCATGCTCTCTGGGGTTCATGGGGGCCCAGGCATGGATTCTTCACCCACTTCTAGAAATGCCTGGCAGAGGTATCAGGCCACCCAGTCTCCATTTGGGAAAGAAATGCTTTGCTGCAGGTGGAGGAGGGAGGTCTCAGAGTATTGTCACTGGGGTCTGCTGTGGATCCAGACCTACAGACCTGCCCACACTGTGATGGAGGACAGGGATTTCTCAAGACAACTGTGAGGACACTGCTTTTCCTGAGAGGGACAATGTGGAACTCCCTAGAATTCCGTGGACTGTGTGAGCGAGAACTCAGCTACAGTTGCTCACAGGGAGGCTCCCTCTGGTCAGAGACATCAGGCCTTCCTCTGTCCCGGCTCCTCCCTCCAGGTTCTAACCCTGCAGGAGCCAGAGGCAATCATGGCAGAAGACAGCAGGCAATGTAGCAGAGCAGGTATTTGAAAATGAAAATGAACATTTATTTAGAGAAAATGAAGACAAGAGCTTTGCGGGAGGGGAGGAGAAGGATGCCTGGCTCACACTTGGTGTTCTAAGCAATTTGGCTCTGGCCCCAAATCTGCAAGCCCTGTTCAAATATAGCAAGATGCCAGAGTGTCTAGAATCTCCTCCCTAGCTTGACAGGGTCCAGCTTTCTATGTGGAACACTGTTCATGAGAGGGAATTCTGCAGACTTCCTCTCCCCATCTGTTCATGGAAAACCATCTGCTCTCCAGAGAGGTTGGTACTTTGTCCTCTGCCCAGATGGACTATTTCTACATGTACTCCTCACCCAGGGCCCAGGAGGAGTGAGGTATCTGTGGAAATGGGAAAAGGTATGTGGCTGGACGGCAAATTTAAATACAGATGACACACTCGGAGTAAGAGGAGGATCATAGATAATGACTCTGACCTTGCTTGGAAACAGGGGATGTTAATTTTCAACAGATGTCTGAGGAGGAAGCATGCCATTGACTCATCCGTCTTGGGTGGGTGTGGGCTAAGCACCAAGGCTTGGGTGAGCAACCACAGGCATGTGTTTTTAAAATCTCATGCTTACGTCACCTTGACTAACTTTGCATGGATCAAAGCAAGTCCCATGGCCAGGTTCAATATCCAGGACAACAAAGTACCCCCAAGAAGAAAGAGAGCAGGCTCTGCAGGCCAAGGACAAAGAAGTTGACAACAGGCAGTGGGGGCTGGGGAACCAGAATGTGAGTAAATGGCTCACCTTGATATGGGTGAGTAGTTCAAGGTGACTGCCACACTTAAACCATCCATGCTAATGCCCAGGGCACCACTGTCCTCAGAGGAAGATGAAGTATCTCTGCGTAGCAGCCAAAGCATATTACCCAGCTGGGTGTTCACAGCACAGCCCTCCCAAACCATCTGGTGAAGAGGTCCCCGGCCCCTGTCCCTCCTGCGGTTTTACATGCTGAATACCAATGGTCTGAATTCAGAACTGAGGCGGCCAGATGGCCTGGACTGATGTAAGTCAGAGAGCAGAGAACCATTCCTATAAGAAGTGCTTTAGAGAGCATCATAGCCAGAGAGGGCAGTGGTCTCCCAATGGTTGGAGTGTCCCATGAGTCGCTTGTGTCACCTGCAGATGGTGGCTGCCTTTCATGCCCTAGTCCTCGTATGTCCCTGCTGTTTGTCACTTCTTGCTGAACTGGAGGACACTCAGGCACAGTCCAGCTTTCCAGGCCAGAGAGGACGTTTCTGCTCGTGGTCCACCCCAGGCATGATGCAGTGTGGCTTCAGGTGGGCTGTCACAGTGAGCTGAAGGAGCTTCCTATACCATCAGTATATTTGCTGTTCTGCTTCTGACTTTTTATTCTTGAGGATTTTTTGATGAGGAATGTGCTGGATCGTAAGTTCTCTGCATATGATAATGAGGCTGTCTGATCGACTTTGCTCTTTCACTGATGGGTTTTACTGACGTTGGGTTTTGCACCCCTGAGATACACCTTATTTGTTGGCAAGAAAATAAATTTTATATGTTACTGTAAGATTTAATCCTCAGTACTTACTTTGGAATAATTCTTTGTCTTTATTTTAACTTCTGAGATTTTGGAGGAGTTTTCTATTTCTTAAAGAATTTTGGAAATATTTCTTGAAAATTTTTACATTTCTAGAAAATTCTTCACTTGAAAACTCTCTGCTCTGAAAGAGTATGCCGGGTGGCCTCATCTGTCCTCTCTCTCAGCACAGACTGTCACCATTCATTCTTTCTCTGGAGCCCAGTTATGAAGTAGTGTCCTGTTTGTCCTGCCTGCTCTTCCTGGGTGTCACTATGAACCGTGGTGCTGTGGAGGACATTCAGCCAGGGCTGCGTGTCTTTGCAGTAGGAATTGGCACTGTCCACATCACCTTCCTGTCACCTTCCTCCTTCCGTGAGGGCTGATCTCCTGGCTGGCTCTCTCCCTGTCCCTGTCCTTGGGGGCTTCTCTATCCACATGGATGACCTTTCACATCCAGGGCTCTCAGCTTGCTCCCCTCCTCCTCTAGAGGTCTCCTCTTCCATCCTCATCACCACAGATGCTCAGAATCTCATCCTCGTCCTCCTAGTGCCAGAGGTTATAGCAGATGAAATCTGGGAGCAAAAGACCAAAAGTAACATGCTCCCTTTGAAGAAAAATAAAGAGAGCATTTCAGATGGCAGCTGTGTTTCCAAGGGCCACTCTGTCTTCTGGGTTGGGGGCAGCAGATACAAGTAAAAGTATTTCCCCTGAATGAAGAATTACATTTGGAACATGTTAGTATATTGCAATATTCTGCTTTGGAGAAAAACACAAATAAATATAAAATTACATTTAGATAAATATGGAACTTATTTTCCCTAGTAGTCATTTTTAGATAAATATGGAACTTATTTTTCCTAGTAGTCATTTTTCCTGGTCCTAAACTGGCATATTTTCTAAAAACCTTCATCAAAATATAAGTATCTTCCACTGTTCCTGATAGACAGATAAATAAGCAATTTTAGAAAAACAAATTCCAAAGATGTGAAAGACCTGTGTTTTAGAGAAAATCATTCTTCTACTACTCCTTCTCCGAAACCCTATTTTAATGCTTTGGAAATTCACCGCGTACATCTGAAAGGAGAGAAATCAATCCCTTGGAACCATGCATGTGGCTCATTTTGTGGGGAGAAAAAAAAAAAAAAAACAGTTGTTGTGGATGGAGCCTATGGCCCTGCATGTGTGAAACGGGCATGCTGTCATGTGAAATAGCTGAGGGTGACCCAGGATTGTCAGGGGCATGTTCCCCTCATGAACAGGAGCCCAGCTGCTGGAAGAAACGTGCCCCCAACTTGCGATTCCCAAAGGGAGATTATGTTCCACACTGATGCCCAAGCTCCAGCTCAGCACCGGTGACAGGACTGTCATGGTGGCCTGAGATTAATACATGAGTTCACTGAGACCAGTGCACTCCCACCTGATTATGGTGGTCACATTCACACTGCCCACGGGTTTCTCATAGCATGGGCTGGGCCGCTGCCCATGACCTCCACACTCAAAGCACATGCCCTGGAGCATTGAAGGGGGGTGTTTTCATAGACCACACTTGTGCTTTCAGAACATGAATCATTGCTCTTACAAAGGAGCACAAGTTGGGTAAAACATATTCATTGTTGAATCCTCAAGATATATTGTTATCAGGCTGTGTCAAATTTACCACTCTGCAATTAATACCATAACATATGTGGGCTGGACATTTTTTATTATTGAAATCGGTAGAGTTTTGACTACTCAGAGTGTCACCTCTCTCTGTATACACACACACACACACACACACACACATTCACACACATACACACAAATACACACACTCACAATTTGCCCTTCTGAATTCACAGGTTCCACATCCATGGATTCAACAAAATGCAGACAGAGCATACTTGAATCCTGGTTTTCCCAGGATCACTGGCTCCTCTGGCTTCTGAAGCTCTATTCTGTTCTCTTGGCCCCAAGGCTGTTACCCAGAAACACAGTTTTTAGATATGAATGAGTGCTATTTTATACATGTAAAGTTGTCCTTTGAGTTACCAACTGATATTAAATAAAAATATGACCCATTTCTTAAAAATGTATTTCATTCAAAAGTTACAATGCTAATATCTGATGATATCCACTATGTTAAAACAACTTTATGATCTAGAAGACCCACTTTGGGTGTGCACCCCAAGAAACAAAATCCAGACCCTGAAGAGATAATCTGCCTGCCCACATGAAATCCAGCACTTTTCACAATAACAAAGATGCAGAAACAGGCCAAGTGATTGTGGAATATGAGTGAATTAAGAAAACATGATGCTTATGCACAGTGGAATACTGCACAGTCTTGAAAAAGAAAGCGTTCCTGGATGGAACTAAAGGACATTGGGTTAAGGTAAACAAGCCAGAAACAGAAACACAAGTGCTGCACCCCGTCTACTACCTGCAAAATCTAAAATAGACTCCAGAGGCCAAGTAGAAGAGTAAATGCCAGGGACAGAGTGGCAGGGGCCAGGGGGAGATGTCCCTCCAGAGGTGCAAATTTACTTCAGCAGGGTCGACAGTTTCTATAGATTTGATGCAAAACAACGTGATTGTTCTTCACAATGTGACATCCCATGCTTGAAATTTGCTCAAGTGTAGAAAGTTGTTCTCTCTAAAAAAAGGAAAGAAATAGATTTTAGCTATGCAAGATGTAAAGTATGCTAATTAACTGGACTGTGGTAATTGTTTCATAATGTAAATATATATCACATCATCAAAGTGCATGGACACTTCAAATATGCACAACTTTTAATTATCAATTGTACCCTAATAAAACTGGGACTTTTTTAAAAAAACTTCTTTTAACACAGCACCAAGAATATAATTGTTAAGAAACAGTTTTGCTATCTTCTGAACTTAGAATACATTTATAAAGAGTAAATTTGCTTTGAAAATATATTCACATTTAATTTTCTACCTGGGCAATGATGCTTAACAAACAAGGTTGTTTCCATGATATTTTGGACCTCACCTACAACACCATAGGCTTTATGAGTACTTTTTCCTGCTGTGTCTCTAACAGATTCAGGCCACAGCCCCCGTCACCCACACGTGTCCTCTGAATTCCCCAATCTATCTACCCCCAGAAGCACCACTGGAAGCTTGGATTTCACATGAGAACATCTATCTGGCCAAACCAGCTCCACAATGGGGCCCCGTTTCTCAGTGCAGGTGCTTCCCCGTGGAAGAGACCCAGCACCTTCCAGATAATGAGGAGGCATGTCAGTAAAAAGCACTGTTAACACATTTCATATCACTTCTTTCTTGAGTGTAAAAATAATACATATTAGGTAAAGATAATTTGGAGGGTTGATTGAAGGTACAAAGAAGAAAATAACAGTTCACTTATTCATACCACCAAGATTTGGATAAACCTTCTATCCGACGTGCACACCAACATTAAATCAAGGGCATGGTCGCATGATTTGACACCACTCAGACTTCAAAACTTTGGTGACCTTTGAATTTCAAATATCATTGAAAGAAACATTATTATATAACACAATGCAGAGACCCTGAAGAGTACAAATATCTTCCAAATTCAAAAACACTCTTTTTAAAATTTTGCTTAATTATGACTCTGGTGATGAGCTTCTCTCCTGAGCCCCCTTTGCCTGATGAATGGCTCTTCCTTTCTATCTGTGCCCACACTTGATGACCCTGGCCCTAAGGACCGTTTCTGTATAGACATGAGCCACACAACTGTTCCAGTGCTTCTGCACAGACCTGCTCCACCAGATTATGGTGGCCATAGACAGGATAGATGTTGAGAGGATTAAAAAGCTGCAGCAAGTCAAGGATAAAGATGTTCAACAGGAACCCACATTGTTAACGGGGAGGACAAACAACATGTGCTCAGTGGGGACATATTTGCCCAGGGTTTCTTTAATGTGTGTGAAAGTGTGACAGCAGATGGCAGCTCCACATGTCAGTCCAGGGCACACCCCCCCCCCTCTGGCTGCTTCTGTCAGGCATTTTTACTAGGCTTCCAGCACCTGAGGGTGGAGAATATTGTGTTCATTGTGTGTTTGTTTCCCAAATTTAATACAATATGGAGGATGGAGCACAAATCAGAATAGAACAGACTATGCTACAAACATCAGAAACTCAGTGTGCAACAGCAAGAGAATTATAAGTCACGTTGATTGACAGCCTGTCTCAATGTGATGAGGACACATCACTGTGGTTACTCCAGGACCCAGGATGACGAAGGCTCAGTCAGCAGAGCAGAAGAGAAATGAAGACCGCAGTCCTACAAATGATTGTTCCACTTTTATTGGCTCAAATATTCTTATGGCCACACCCAACTGCAAGAGGCCATAGGAAAAATCTCCTTCTATTCTGAGGAGAGGGACCAGATGTCCCTGCACAGCATCAAGGTCTGGCTGTGCTCAAAAAAATCCTTCCTGAGTGAGCAGATCAAAGAGTGGGGTGCTATTTTTTAGCTTGATGCATTCAAAAGAAATCTTAAAAACTTTGTACCCATTATCCTTCATGGTAGAGAATACAGGACAAAATAGTCAAATATCAAATAGGAGAATTGGTACCAAGCTGCCCGAGTGGATGCGAGCCCATTACCACCATTCTGCCATGGCTCTCAGTTTGGGCATCTGATGGCATTTTGAAATGTGGAATCAGTGTGTGGAACAATGTTTGTCATTACTCACAAACTTCTTCAACAAGAAGCAAATGGGCCTCTTCAATGTATTCATCATTGTCAACAAGCAAATGTGTTTCGATGTTGTTTAGACCAGCAGTTTTCTGCATGTCAAAACGTGGCCAGAGCCGACTGCCCTTGAGGGTCTGTTAAGTGTGGGATTGTCTTCAAGTCAGGAAGGAGACACACGGGGTGGCATCTATGTTAGAAAAGACTGTGCCACAGGATAAGAGGACCATGGGGACAAGACCCCCTTCTGTATATGCACTACTGTGTCCTCTGTGCACGATACATAAGACATGAAAAGAAAAATCTGTGATTGATTAAACTGTACTCCTGATGGACAAGGCCCTGTAGATGAAGTGGTCCACAGGAATGAGAGCAAATCATTAAGGAGATGGAGCTGGGGAGGGGAATGATGGATAGCTGGAGTCCTGGGAATTTTAAGACAGTGAAATTCCTCTGAGTGACACTGTCATGATGAGCACATGTCATCCCAGATTTGTCCAAACCCAGTGTATGCTCAAGGTGAACGGTGGGTGATGGGTGGTACTGAAGTGCCAGGGCAGGTGCCTCCCCTCTCTATGAGATTCAGCTCCCTGGAGTGGGACATTATCCTGGGAGAGGCCAAACGTGTGTGGGCACAAGGGCGCTACTATTTGTAAGTACTCAGCCTTATCAACACATCCTTTTTTTGCATTAGGTACCACCCAGCTTCCTTTGCTTTATGCAGAGCTTTGAAATTTCATCTTTTTTTTTTCAGGAAGAAAAATTTGACTGTAATAACTCAGGACCTGAGGGACAAAAGTCATGCGAAACCCAAATGTAGAATCCAATGTCCTTGCTCATCAGCTTCCCCAGTGCTCTGCTTGCATCTGACATTTTTCAAGTAAAAAGAAATGTGTTCCTTCTTTGTTCATTATGGTTCCTCTGGATAATGCTTACTTTTCTTTCTGAAACTTTCCAAATGAGTGCAAAACAGAAGATGGACATAGAAAAGCCAAGCCATAAAAATGCTATCCATCAGCAGTTTGGTTAAAAAGCTATCATTAAGGAAGAGAAATGTAAGTTACGGAATGAGGTCACCATTTAATTGATATAAATTGCAGCCACCTGCTCATCTCACTTCCAGGGGAAAGGGCTATGTGTATGCAAGGAAGTAATTTTCCGAGGAGGAAGAGAAGTTGCTCGGCAGACTCATCACTTCAACTGTTATTTAGGTCTCCCAGGTCTGCCCCGCCTGCCCCTGTCCCGGGAGGACTCACAGTTGGACCTCTGTGCCTGCTTGATAAGATAGAAGGACAGAAGACAGATGCAAAAGACTACACATTCCCCAGATTCGTAGGGTCTGGAAGCCAAAGTCAATAGATCATGGCTTCCCAATGGGAAGACGTTCAAAAGACATAGGGTTGGCCTGTGGAAACTGCAGAATGGCCTCCAGAGGTGAGTGTGGGTCTGCTCTGCAGGGAGTAACAAGTTTTGAACCTGGATAACTTTTCACTCAGGTTAAGAGGGCCTTGCAGAACACACCGTAGACCATACTATAAAGGCTGTCTATCTGTCTGGGTCCGTTTGAGCTGCTCTAACAAAACACCACCAACTGGGTGGCTTATAAATAACGGAAATGTATCTCTCACACCCCTGATGCTGGGAAAGCCCAAGACCAAGGTGCCAGATGATGACTCGGGTCTGGTGAGGGGCCTCTTCCTGGTTCCTCCCATGGGAAGAGGCCAGGCAGCTCTCTGGGTTATAAGGCCACCCTCCCACCCATGAGGACTGTACCTCCTCCACCAAATCACCTGCAGAAGCCTGTTAGTATCTCTGCCTTGGAACAGGATTTGTGTATATGAATTTTATTTTTTTGGAGCCAGGGCTACTGGGGATTGAACTCATGGGCACTCGGCCACTGAGCCATATCCCTAGCCCTGTTTTGTATTTTGTTTAGAGTCAGGGTCCCACTGAGTTGAATAACCTCTTGCTGTTGCTGAGGCTGGCTTTGAGCTCAAGATCCTCCTGCCTCAGCCTCCTGAGCTTCTGGGATTACAGGCATATGCCACCACACTTGGCTTGAATTTTATTTGTATATATGAATTTTAGCAATATCCATGACATAAACTACTTACTGGTAATAAATGTCATTTGACATTTTTAAAAAAAGTTTCCCATATCACATTTTAACAAAAATTATACCTTTTTGTCTTTATAGCATCATTGCAGAAACACTACTCAAGTTAACATATATTAATAAATTGAAGACAACATTAATGGGGAAAAAACCCTAGTTAGCAATTTATTTGTGGGTTTTCTACAGCATGGAAAAATTCACCAATTATTAATAAAATTTTTCCTTGAGAAATTTTTTTTCATTTTAATTTATTTCTGATTTCTAATCTGTGTTCTTTTAGTTTTCAGGCTTTAGAAAAAAATGTCTTATAGAGTTAAATATTTTTAATTTAAAAATATTTTGCTTTGTAAAGAGAGAGACTTCATTAATTTGGAAGGAGAAACTGTAGGCCTGTCACATAGCAATGACTTATTTAATTACATCTCCTTTTTTTGCATTCCATCTGGTTGGAGTTATTGTTTTCTTTGTTACAATCAGTTCTCAACAATTTATGTTCACCCTTGATAGGCTCATATTTTGCTCCCATTTTAAATTCCTTTCAAACTATGAAGGTGCCTGTCTTTGCTAGCATACAGGACACTGGAACAGCTTGCTCCTGAGAGGGATCTCAATGCACTATCTAAAAACGTGCTGGAGGCACACAGGCTATTTTGAGCTGAAGGCGACTAAGAAGCAGCAAATGCAGGGAGAGCTGCCTGCCCACAGGGTTCTGCCTGAAGCTCAGCAGGGCTCAGCGTCCCTTCCTAAAGGGGACACAACCGCCCCTCTGTGGAAGTGTCCCTTCCCCAGTGTCAGGAAGAGAATGACTTTTCCCTGCATCACAAACCTTATAAACAGCTGACCCCGGCCTCGCTTCTTGACGGTAAAGCCCTGTGCACCCTGTGACCTTCAGTGAGGAGTAGGACCTTTCCTCCTCTCCGCCTCTTTTCATCTCTGTGGCTTGCAGGCCCATGAAGGAAGCAGAAAGGGGGTTGTTTGATTTTTCTTCCCCCACACTGGGACCCAAGCAATGAGAAAAGGCACATCCACTAAAAGTTGTGAATGTTCTTCAGCTTATCAGAAAGCAGTGGTTTCAGGACAGTTAAATATCTTGGAATCATTCATCAGACCTTCAGCTCGGTAGAGATGGACTCTAGGAAGTTCTCAATTCTGGTGGAGCACAAGAGGAAAGAAGAAGAGGGTGACCCCCTCAGAACCAGGTGAAGGGCGAGCATTTTAGCAAATTTCCAAGGCTGGTTGGGCCACTCTGAGGCCTGAGAACCTCTGTCTCAAGCCTAGTTGGAGTTTGCATGCACTTGAAAAATATTTCCCGTAAACCCTGGACTTCACACTCATGAGAGACAGATGGCAGGAGGGGAGGCAAAGAAAGACCCCTGGGTCTCCAGGAGGGAGTGACAGCTGTGGGCCAGGAAAGGCATGGGGCCCTGTGCTCACCCCCCTGCTCCCCAGATAGCCTTGTCCTCGCTGAAGCAAAAGGCTCGCACCCCGGAGGGAGCACACTGGCCATTCACAGGGCACAGGCTGGTACTTCTTGTTACTTGAGAGCAAATAAAAGATGGAAATCACATCATACCCATGGGGTAGGGGTGCACTGCAGTCCTGGGACAAGGACCGCACTCTGGGGTCATTGCCAGTCTTCTTCCAGGGTCCAGGAACAGTGAAATCCTGCACAGGTAGACACGTGCATGCAGGACAAGAGGCTGAGGGCTGAGTCCAACAGCCATGTCTAGGCCCCCCTGACCCCTGAGTCCCACAGCTGGACCAGAGAGCAGAGAGTGTTCAGCACCCCACCCCACCCCCAGCATAGCCACTACCAGCATAGGAAGCCTCAGGGGACCAGCAGCAGAGTGGTGGAGAGGTGGCACCAAGCTGGAGCTGGATCACAGACGCTGAGAACAATCTCAGGATGCCATAAGCCCATGGCATGGCTGATGGACGAGCTTGAAGCTGTGGCTCCTAGGAGGTGACCACAGTGAGGACACAACCCAGCTCAGCTGAAGGCCTGATGGGAGGGCCCATGCCCTTCAGGGTTATGCTGAGGGAGCAGCGACCTTCATATCCAGCCTTCAGTGTGATTGGCCCACATCTCCTAATGGTCAGGTGTCATGCAGATTTCAGGAACAAATCATAACACATGACAGTTTTAAAGTCATGAAGAAGCAACAGCGTCCAGAGTCCAGCACCCCAGGACAGACTCAGAAGTGTTGTAACTCCACTAAGCGCCCTCCTGGGTCTCGCTCCAGCGGCCCTGCTGGGTCCCACCAGGTAGAATAGACCACTGACATCATTCATTCATTGTCATTCTCCATAAGGTGGCAGCTCCATGGAACAGGGATGTCACCTCTTCATCTCTCCGTTCACTCTGCTCAATGTTACCTGGCCTGCGCGAGTGTGCCAAGAACATCATGGAGCCTGTGGGGACTGGCTTCCCTCTTCTGCAGCCCTAGAGTGAGTGGGCTTTCTGTTGAGCAGTCCTGGCCGGGGTACCTTGACAATTGACACCCTCTGCAGCCTCCATGCAGCTGCTTCCACGTGGCTGTCTTGCCTGGCTATCTCTCGTGGGCCTGTCCTCAGTCTTTATTCCTCCTCGTGGCTTTGTAGACACAGAGAAAGAACATGGAGGGTGCCGCCTCCCTGCTCATGCCTAGTAGCAAGGGCACTCCACCAGGATCCCTTGGAGTCAGTCAGAGCCGGCCCAGCTTTTGTGCCCCTTGCAAACTCTGTGAATACAGTTTCACTCTCTTGTTCTCCCAATTTTTACCTCTGTCCTCTGTTTCTTTCTTTTTTTACCCTAAGAAGAACTAAAATGACTTAATTCCATGTGTAAATAGTGTGTCTTTGTTTTTAATTATTAAAGGAGATTATGTTTACGAATATAATTCAAAATTAATTTTATACTTATTTAGGAAACTTTTAACTCCCCACTTCATGACTAATCATCTATAAAAGAGTGGAAACATATTCCTACACTTCACTTAACATTTTTTTCCAGGTACATCTTACAAAAGTCTCTTTTATAATTATCCATAATCAGCCAAATGGTCGATTAATAAGAATTACACATTAGCTCAAATTGGATTGAGTCAAACCTGCACAGAATGATCCCTTGTTTTCTAAAGAAAACAGAACGTTTCAGCATCTGGAATGCATTAGGAGTCCATCAAATGTTTATTTAATATTAGATAAATACAGTCTTGCTTCATTAAGCCACATAGTCAGGGAGTATGCCCCATTTCCAATATGCGCTTTCTTAGTGAAATTTGCCATTATGCAACTTTGAAAATTGCCAGCAGGAACTCAATAGAAAGCTTGGGAATGAAGCAATGTCAGAACTCTACAGAGCCATTATTGCTGTATAACAACCTGGTGTTTTAAAAAGAATTTTAATGGTTTGGGAAACAAATTAGAATCTTTCTTTGGTGACTCAAGTTAAGTGGACTAAAACCGGAGGTGATTACAAGGTGCATAAATTCCAACTGACATTTTGCTCCCAGATTGTCTTAAACCAACATCCTTATTTTCTTTGGTGCAACCTTTTACACAAGAGAGAGAGCAGAACAAATAAGACATAAGTGATCTGTGGTGGTTGAGCTCCTAATTGTTCTGAGACAGAGGGAACAGTGCAGAGATTGAGGGCCAGACCTGGGCACAGATGCTGCAGGGCTAATTAGGCTGTGCTGCAGGGGAAGAGCTGAGCTCTCTAGGGCTCCAGAAGCAATCTGTAAGACTGGGCATCTTAACATTCCTTCCTCTTGGGTAGGTGGTTATGAGGAGGAAGTGACATAGGTCAAGTG